GTGTTGGCGGACTTCACGTCTTCGAAATATTTTTGTCTTATTTCTCAGACATGCAGGTTTCCTCACGATGTTTTCCTTCACCGTCGAGCACTCGGTAATCAGCACTTAATTGTAATTAACAATTTCACTGGTGCCGCCGGGGATCGAACCCGGGTTTCTCGCGTACTCTACTAATATTTACAGCGAGCGCTTAGCCTCTAAGTTAAGAAGGTTTAAGATATAACCTTGGTAAAATAATTTGAAACTACACCGATTTAGTTATCAAAATAGCGCCATCTATCATCTAATAGAAAAGTAGTAGGTATATTTTGCTTTCAGTCATTAATAAATTAAATAATATAAATACCTAACTTACATTTACATATATTATGTTTAAATAATTAGATTTATAAAAACATTTAAAAATTTTAATGTTTTATTTGTCAGTATTTTTGTTATTTTATTTTAAAAGTGTAATAATTTCAATAGATAATAGTGACGTCTATCAAAAATATGAAAATTGATAAGGTTTTTATTTCAATTACTAATCTAAATGTAAAATCAAAGACGTTTAAGTAGTTACCTATATATTTAAATCTCTTTGTGTAAAATTATCAAAACTGGTTTGGCTGCAATTATTGGAAAATTTTCATTATCATTATAGTTTTATTAAAGAGATTTTTATAAGTACTCGTAGTATATTATTTCTTGATATGGTGTGGTCATTCTATGATATTTAATACTGTCTGTTGACCATGTCATGCTATAGCTTGACCAAATCAATGAATAGAAATCGTTTGAAGATAATAACTAAACACATTATGTTTATTTTAATGATATCGCCATATGACTATATCAATAGTCATATGACGATATCATTAAATCATATTAAGATAATTGTGTTATATTTGCTTATCTATGATTGTGACAGTCCTGGTTTCATAGCTCATATGAGTTACATATGTAAATGAACAGGCTGTTAGGAAAGGCAAACAAAGGTTATTTTATTTTACTTGTCAAAGTAATCAAAGTGATTAAAAGTTAAATTTCATAGTACGTAAGCATTATTATACATTTTTTTTTTAGGATCGGGTGACAAACGTGCACACAGTCCACCTGATGGTAAGTGGTTACTGTGACCCATAGACATCTACATTTATCCTCAATAGAGACTCAAGATGCAGATGCGTTGTCACCCGTGAGGACTAAGATGGAATGCCTCTTTGCCAGTAAAAAGGGTCTCCGGTTCTCTACACTCACCATACGAAACACAGCAGCGTTAAGCTGCTATTTTACGCTGGTTTTCTTTGAGAGCGTGGTCCTTCCCCGGTCGAGCCGACCCATTCGTGCTACAACCATAATATAGCTGCAGCATGGCTCTACCACGTAACATTTTAGCTTACATTTTAATTGCAATTTGAAGTATCAATTTACTACCTTCTCGTCGGTGAAGTAAAACCTGCAAATCTGAGAAGTTTACCTGTTGAGGTCATTCCGCGTTGGAATCAGTTTTTTGGCCAAAAACTGCAAAAACAAAAATGGCCTGTGCTTAATAGTAACATGTATGTAAGCTGCTACTTTTTTACTTTTCATGGGGCAATATATGCAGTTTTTATTTCATTCATGTTTTCGGGTATGTTATTTTTTTGTTTTCACTCTACCATATATTAAGGGTTCCAAAGATGAGTAGAACTCATTATCGTCAGCCTATCAAAAGTCCACTGAAATGAACATAGACCTCCCCCATACATTGTCAAGTAGCTGGATATTTGCTATAGTTGCCACGCTTGGTAGGCGGGTTGGCAACCACAGCTATTATTATTTTGATCTGTTGTCAGGAAGATGATGCTGCCCATCCCATCTCCTGTTTGTTTTCCTATGTTGGCTCTTACGACGGGATGATATGAGGTGTCGGATTCTCTTTCACCGCGACAACAAGGCGAATATTTTTTTTATTCCCGTTCATGAGTAAAGTGCTACCCACGTTCACTGTGAATAAAATGTATAAGATATAAAACTAATTTTAAGGATTTCATCGCGTTTAATTCTAACCTTATAATTTCCCGATGTTTTGGGCACTGTAGGACTGAGGTGTTTGACGAGCTTATATCATAGTTAGAATATAATAGAATAAGAATAGTATAGAATAGAATAAATACAGTAGTATGCTTGGGTGTGAATATTATTTTATTACTTATGGTAGCACTCAGCCATCTTCCCTATTAAAATTAAGATGTTTTTTAATTTCAATAGCCTCGCGAATCATCATTGGTAGGAAACGATTTTTTATTGCAAGAATTTGTTGTCTATCTGATCTGATATAATGGTTGGAACGATACTAAACATGTTGACATACTTTAGACTTCCTGGAGCGTCGGTGCTTCACATCTGCTTGCTTCACATCAACGATATGGTCTTTTACGAAGGTTTTTATGGAACTTTCAGCCAAAGTTGCGTAAAAAAATCCAACGTAAAAAAAAGTTAAATTAAGTAAACGTGATAAAATCCGTAACATTACTTTTATTGCATGTGTAATATACATCATTATAGAACTGCGTTTATGCAATTTAGAAGTCTACTCGAACGTAAAATAAATATCTACATCTATTTTATGGTGCCAATCAATATTAAAATAAGACCAATGTTATGTATAAAATATCTCATATAAACATTATAACGTATATTGATAGAAGACCATGAAATTCATCGTTATTTTGTTAAAACTAAATTAATTTTAATTATGAATGTGTAAAGAGTAAAATGCAAATAATAATAATAAATTTTGATTCTAAGAAAATTTACCTTTCATATATTCATGTGTTGCTGTAGCATATTATATACATGTCAAATACCAATCACCTACGTCTAATAGTCTTTTTAGAATTCAAAAATTATCTTCGACAGACATTAAGACACAGACACCGAGGGGACTCTAAAAGTGATCAAATTTTGCTAAATTTGGCACGGAACAGCATTTAATGATGTTCCTAATTCATGCTCACGCGAGCGAAGCCGCAGATTAAAAGCTAGTTTCTAATAAAACGCATCTCAATTTTATTCTGTCACTCATTCATTTATCACAGCTTATTAAGCTTATCAAGTCCACTGCTGAACATAGGCCGCCCCATAGATTGCATCGCAGGGGGGATAATGAGGGCTAATAATTTTCTGCTCACCAGATGTCCCTAGTTGACACTGAGGTAAAGTTTTTTGTTACACAGTGTCATTTGATTGAGAAGTTATTTTTAAATAAAAGTTTATCCGTTTTTAGATTTAGTATTATATTGATACACAAAACAATACCTCACGCCTGGTTTGCTCTTTAATTTTTTGGACATTGTAAATATTTTTTTAATTTTTATATGAATATTTGTGATTTGGTTTATTTATTTTTAATCTTATTAATATGAAATATAGTTAATAGTATAGAAAGAAATATTAACCTTTACAATTTCCGAACAAATTAACTTCCCCGATATGAAATCTGTCAAATATTATACCTCACTTTAAGTGGCGCCGCCCTGGTGGCAGAAAAAGTCGTGGATGCCCTCATTGCCATAGTCACCACGCTTGGCACGCTGGTAATAATGTAAGCGGTAACTGCACTTTAACATTTTGAGTTGTTATCAGGAATATGCTGCTCCCAGTCTCCTGTTTCAATATCCCGTTGTCCTCTCTTACTATATATATACCCACTTCATGAAATGGGGTAATGGATGCTCGTACGTCACCACTACACGGTGTCAAGCTCTTTAGCATTTGAATAAAATAAATCATAATGTCCTCCAGACCGAATTTCGATCACGGCGGCCAGTCTCAACGGAGATTAGCCACCTGTGTAGGACGAGATTATAGTATACTCTCTATTCCCTCACTTTCATAGTTCGATGGGACGACAGCCGACGGGACCGGAGAGAGATCAGACGCAGGACCAACGGCTTGACACGTCGTCAAGCCGTTTCTTTCACGGCACGGCACGGAGGTGAAACACCACTAACTTCCTAACTCCGAGCTGCTATTGATTTTATTTCCTGACAGAAAAACCCAATAACTGAATAAATCATAGGATCAATAGGAAAATACAACGTTCTTTCAACTCTTATGGAGCTTGGCGTCCGTTCAAATCACAATTATTTCATTGGCCGAAACCATAAACCACGAAAGTCGTTTGTACTGAACTTGGCCCCGTTTTCACGTTTGTGTTTTTGGTGGAATAGGTATATACGTAGTGGAGCCATGCTGCATCTATATTAGTAGTATAGTTGTAGCACGAATGGGTCGGCTCCACCGGGGAAGGACCACGCTCTCACAGAATGCCATCGTAAAATAGCAGCTTAACACTACTGTATTTCGTATGGTGAATGTGGAGAACCGGAGACCCTTTTTACTGGAAAAGAGGCATTCCATCTTAGTCCTCACGGGTGACAACGCATCTGCATCTTGATTTTTTATTGATGATAAATGTAGATGTCTACGGGCCACAGCAACCACTTACCATCAGTTGGACTGTGTGCTCGTTTGTCACCCTAGTATATAAAAAAAAATTTGTACTGGAAATGTAGCTTGTATTTTGAAAGTAAAGAAAAATAATATAATGCCATTTAAATTCAGTCAAACACATTCAACAGGGAAATAACAGTTCTAATCAATTTCACACTTCGTATTTTTTATTAAAAAATTATCAGAGAATATACAATAATTTATCAATCGATGTTACTTTGAACACTCGATGACATGCTAAAATTCTATTCCACCATTTTGCTCTACGCAGTCGAATCCGTTAATATGGCTCTATCGATAAAATCTAAAAATAATCGCGTCTTGCAGTCTGTTACTTTACATTTCCAGTTGACTGGAGTCCGCCATTGAGCTTTGAGCTTTGACAACTTATATTTCGCGCCATTTATTGACATTTAATTTTTTAATCTTTCGCGCATAATTTACGCCAATCTTACTGATAAAATACAAAAATAAAATTCATTACACATTTTTAAATATATATTTATTACAAAGGGTTAAACATGGGTTATTCAAAATCCAAGGGAATTAAGTTTTATGTGTTGACATTGATAGTTTTTTTGTGCTTAAGCGAAGCAAAGACATCGGAGAACAAGACGCACACGACAGAGACAAAAAGTTCACCAAAGGTAAATGATACTTTAGTTGCAACTATTTTTTAGTTATATTCTTTTTGTAAACCTTACCCAATAACAATATTACAATACCAACTTCTATTACCGACTTTGTTAGTTCTTTTCTGACAATATTACCTAATATCTTTAACACAAAAAATTCAGTTATGTTGATCACATAAAAAAAAAATTGAGTTTTACGATATTACTTACTACATACTTTACTGCGCTTTAATGCATTTTGGGATAAATCAAAGAATTTTTTAAACTTTGAAACACCACCTTTGAAAATTCCAATCAATACGGCCAGTGAAAAATAAAATTACATTGATAAAAATACGAAAATATCCTTAATATAAATTAAGACATTACAGCTTATATACGTCCTACAGCTGGGCAAAGCCCACCACCCATAGAATTATTACGTAATAATTCTATGCCCACCACCCGTTTACATGATGATTACTTACGCACCGACAAGGTTTTAGAACAAGGAGGTAACCGCCGCGCTGTCCCAAATTCGTGTTGTCGGACTTCACATATCTCCGAAATATTTTTTTAATTTCTCCGACATTGCAAGTTATCACCACCAAGCATGTGATAAATCTGAACTTAAAAGTACAATTTTAAAATGATAATTAAATACTTTTATTGTTGCCGGCGGGGATCGGACGTGGATTTTTGCGTGGTGTTATATTAAAAAATAATTATAAAATTTAAGAAACTAAGCGGGACCTTTTCTCGAAATTAACGGTCTATAATTAAATATCTTTTAATAATCTAGAAGTCTAGAAAAAACACTAAGGAAGAAAACTCTATAATTTATATTTCTGAAAATAATATACCTTAGACGTGGTAGCACTCGCTGCAAATTGCGCCGTACGAGATCAACTCTGGTTCAATCCCCGTCGGCACCAGTGAATTATCAGGTGCTCGGCGTAGGTTTAGAACATCGTAAGGTAACCTGTGTAGCAAAGAATTTATTGTTTATTGTATTTTCTTGCTCCTGATCTTTCTTCGGCGGTGTCGGATTTCCGTCTCATCGGACTATTGCAGTAAGGGAATAGCGAATGCACGTTTGCTTGTGCACACACTCGTGCACTATAATCCTGTTTTTTTTTTATAGGATAGAGTGACAAACTAGCACACAGTCCACCTGATGGTAAGTGGTTGCTGTGACCCATAGACATCTACATTTATCAATAATAAAAAATCAAAATGCAGATGCGTTGTCATCCGTGAATGCCTCTTTTCCAATAAAAAGGGTCTCCGGTTCTCCACACTCACCATACGAAACACAGTATCGTTAAGCTGCTATTTTACGATGGCATTCTGTGAGAGCGTGGTCCTTCCCCGGTTGAGCCGACACATTCGTGCTACAACTATACTACTAATATAGCTGCAGCATGACTCTACCACGTATACTTCACTGCCCAGACTTTAGTCTGTGGTAAATTCTCAAAATATCTCGAAGAACGATTTGACGAAATGACTTAGTAGTTTTGCACTATCTAAAGAATCATGCAGTGCTCCTCTTAATTTTTAAATTTTTTTATAGATAAAACCGGAATTTTACATGTAGTCAAACACTCATTCTTAAAAAGAAACCAGTGTTGCTAGTGGTACACAGAGTACCTACATTTTAATATGTAATAATGCATCACAGAGTACTTTTAAATTAGTTAAGTTATTAATTAGTTACTTACATGTCCCTAATACGAGTAAGTAACATTTATTATAGAAAAGTAATCAAAACCAACAATGAAACAAAGACTGTGCGATGTGTACATTTCAAGTGACGCAAAAACCGCGCTCAACTTCCTTCGACCTCTCTCACAAATCTTTCTTCTTTCTTATTATGTTTTTGTTTTCAATTGAGCATGAGGTTGATTAGTTTTAGAATTTCTAGCACATTCGTCAGTCTGATATTATAAACGAAACTTGCAATCCGAATTCTATTTAGGTGCATGTATACATATATATTAAACCTACTTTTCCTTTATCAGACCACTACACTAGGGCACGTCGCATAAGCTGACGTACGCGAGGTCGCAGGTTCACGCACTGTACGAGATTCAACACTTGTGACTCAGAGCATTTGTAATTTCGACCCTTTTGGACTCGAATGCGCTTAAAATAATTAAACATATTTTACAATCGAAAAGCTTTTAATAACTTTTCCAGACTGAAATTATACTAGATATTAGAAGAAGAATATTTTAAGAGATTTTTGTTTTAAAAATAGATATTATTTTGCTTGCTTTGATATTATTTACAGAAACATAACATCAGATTTTTTTTACTTTGTTGCATACTTATTTTTATATATAAAAATTACGTGTCACGTTGTTTGTCCGCGATCAACTCCTAAACTATTGAACTGATTTCAATGAAATTTAGTACACTGTGCATTTTGGTCCAACTTGAGAGATAGGATAGTTTTTATCCCGATAAATGACCCTCAAAATTGTTTATTGCGAATTTACGGATTTTTTATAGGACAAACGGTCGTCGGAAAGGGCAAAACAACGTCTGCCTGGCCAGCTAGTATGATATATATTTATTTAATACTAGCTGATACCCGCGACTTCGTCCGCGTTGCTTGATATATCAAGAAAACACACATCACTGAACACGGAGTGCTTATAAAATTCTTTGTTTCTTAAAACTTTAATAACTTTATATTCGCATTATATTTGTTAGATAAGTGTCTAAGAAATAAGACTTATAGAAAACCTAATTGAAATCTATCCAGTAGTTTTCCGTGATGCGTGCACAACAGGTGTGTAGGTATACATACACGCGTATATATTTTATGTCTATTTATTTAATATGTTTTAGTTATTAATTATTATTGACTGTTTTTAACACCTGCCAACTCTCTATTTCTCCCTCGGTTGAATGGCAGAGAACGACAAACACTCAGGGTTATAACCTTGGTTTATGGTTTCTTATAATCAATCATATCATAAAACACTCATGCCTGTCATAAAACACCCAGAGGGTCAGGCAGAGACTACGGACTTCCGTTTATCACGGTCCTGCCACACCTCTCTCGCCTCCTTCACATCCATAATATACCTACGCATACATGCTCGTCGGTTAAGGGTACTTCTGGGTACTCTAATAAAAAAATTAAATAATTAATTTAAAATTAAAAATTTTGTACAACCGACTTCAATATAAATGATTAAGAATAACTCAAAAACTACTGGTCACACCTTGATCAAATTATATGTATAGGTATTAAATTAATAATATTATCTTAATTATATTATATGGAACCACATGTGAACCACCAGCTTTTTAAATAAAAAAGAATAATTGAAATCGGTCCACCCAGTAAAAAGTTATGAGGTAACACAAAAAACATACAGTGGAATTGAGTACCGTCTCCTTTTTGAAGTCGGTAGAAAACGTGCGTGAGTGTCGTGGACTCGTGGAATACTCGGTTGGAACGAAGTTCCTTTCGTATTATATTATTATTGAAAAACAAATACAAATAAATGAATTACTAGCGTCTGTTAAAATGAAACGTCATTTAAAATAATATTTCTTTCATGGCAAGATAAGAAAAAGTGCGAGGGAGATGATATCATTCCATCTCGCTTCCTTATAGCCACCAAGGCCGTCTACACTACGTCAGAAGGGGTCGTGACAGGAAAATTTTACACTTTTTCTCGCCTAGCCCCATCCGCCAAATTCGTACCGTCCGATAAGGGACTTCGTTCCAATAATTTATTTGATAATGACATAAAATACATTGAAAGTTTTTTATCTATAAATTTATTTACATGGCATTCAAACATACAATATTTATTGCTAAAGTTATAAAATTTATTACTTAAATTATCGTACAGTCATACTGCGCGAATAGTGCCAAGAACAGAATTAGTTTATGTATGTATGTATGTATGTGTAGTTTATGTATATTTTATCAGTTCAGGATAAAATACAGCCTAGATCACTTCTAGCATTGATCTCTATCGGTTCGTAAAGTTTCATCACAATCGGTTCAATCACTCCAAAGATTAGCCCAGACAGACAAACAGAGAGACAAAAATTAAAAAAAAAGTTTATTTATATAACCCCCGCCTGAACTTAATAGAAGCCAGTTATTCCAATATAATGTTACGAGCTTGGAGTTCGAGACAATTAAAAAAAACTACCGATTGAATTACCAAAATTGACACTTTAATTACAGAACAGTAATTACAACTTAAAACCACACTAATAATAAAACACAATTGTACTACTGATCACTTTAGTTCGCAGTTATATCGCTTCAAAGTATTGCCTTGTATCTATCGCCAATTTAATACTGCCTCGGTCGCGGTTTATACCGGCCTTATATAGGGCCTCAGATAGTTTCCAGAACCTTCTATTGTAGAAACATCTAGAATGTTCGAGTACATATCAGTCCCGATTGACTAGGTGTCGATAGTTCCAGAAAGTTTATAGATTACTGTATATATACTAGAGATAGATGCGCGACTCAAATTTATTTTTCGTTACTGTCGTACTTTGCCGAACAAATGGCGCTTAATTCTTACAAAAGAAGGAACTTGAAAAAAAAGGGAAAAAATAAACTCATCTGCTGGATTCCAACCGGGGTCTTTTGATGTCGGGACCGCCAGGTTACCCAACTGAGATATTATAAGCTTATGCGTAGTGGCGAAATTTACCTTCGAATACTAATAACATTTTAGTAGTTTTTCATTGCCTGAAAACACAGATAAAACCGCATTTTCTAAAAATAAAAAATGATCAATAAATAATAATAACAATTTAAGCGTAACTACCAGTGACCGCTACTAACTGCATAGTGCGCATGGATCATGGCGTATGTAAAGACTTAATATATAAGTGTGCCCTCTAGTGAGATTAAAATAAGTCTAGCCTAGCACTTCGGAATGTAGATGGAAGCACATAAATCGTATCATTTTGTTCGTAAAATAATGCTTTAAGTTGCATGCCCATGAGAAAGTTCTTCCATGGAAATTTCTAGAAGGTTC